CAGCATATCCAGCTGCAGCGGCCTCTGCATCACCAGAGGTGCGCAGTCGGAACCTGGAAGAGAGCGAGGGGGCAGTCAGTTCGATTACAGTACTTGCGTCCTGCGTCCTTGTTTCTGACAGACAACATACATCAATACAGAGGGAATCCAGCGTACGCGCAAGAGCCACCTGTTGACCTGCTTGCTTCAGTGTGCGAACATTGAAAGTGGCTAAGTAGACAGGCTTTCGGGGTTTGAAAACAGACTTCGAAGTGCTTAGGATTGCAACTGAACTGGGACGTGCAGAAGCTGGAGCTGAGTGTGATGCAGGGCGAGCAAAACGGTCAGTCCTAGAGCTGGGACCTGCAGATAAAGTATTCAAATTTGGGCGGGGGAGGGTGGAAGACGGAAAACGTGAAAGCGTAAGAATGGAGGCGTCAGCAGTAGCATTTTTTCGCTTACCCGCCCTGCTGTATGCAGCAAGTAAGGCGACCCGGCTGATGGCACCACGCGACGGCCGATGTGGCATGAGAATATTGTTAGTTGTGTAGGTCATGGTTGTACGAGGGCTGGGATACTGCCAGGGCGCCCACACCTAGACAGGAGGACGATTAGGGTCCTCAACCAAAGCCTTTGGCTCAAAAGCCTAACCGCAAGGCAGCGGTGTTTGGCGGGGCAAATCAAATGCATTACCTTTTCCACGGAACAAGTCGCCATACATGTTCCAACCCCCAACCTGGAGGACAAGGAGACTGTGTTCGCCTCTAACCATACGTTAAGGTCCAGTCTCTTCGTGACGGCCTCAGCAATTTGCGGTGTCATGAGAGTTCAGTCATGACAGTGACGTATTTAGTGGGCCTCCAGTCCATGGTTTCAACTGCCATCCTCTTAAGAAACTGCCCGCTGAGAAGCACTGGGAATGTTGTCCTCAAACAACCTCAGACAGTTCCTCCAGTTCTACACATGCATGCCGAGGATTCTCTGCCTTCGAAACCTCATACTTCGGTCTGCAACTGCTTGAATTCGCTCACACTATACGTCCCGTCTTCCTGTGGGTTTTTTCCTGGCTAATCGCAAATGTCAACTACTTCACGACAAGGTCACTAAAATACATTAGTGGGTGCGGACGAATTTCAACATCCTTATCGACAGTGATCAGTACGCCCCGTGATCTACAGTTCCAAAGCACAAAAACAATGGCAATAAAGTTTTACTTTGGAATGAAGTGTATAACAAAAGAGTTGATGGTATCCTTCGAAAACAGTCGTTGTTTCATCTTCCTAACGAAATTGACTAAAGAGATGGATGAGCCAGTACAAACTACCAGCGGATCCTTTAGCCAAGCGCCTGTCCCAAAACAAACCAAGGCACAACCAAAAGAAAATCGCCACCTAAAAGAACTTAAATAGCAATCACACATCATAGGAGTGCTTGTGAAACGTGTGCCTCAAGAAGTACACATCCGTTTACGAGGAAAATAGAGCTTCATGGTTCTGCTATCTGCGCGTGGTACACAACAAAAGGCCTTTAGTGTACAGGTTCACCCCAGATATCTCCATATTCAAGGTGTGCCTTAGTGCAAACACTCTGATGAGTGAACAGAACTTTTGGTATTTGCGAGTATTAGTCAAAAATAGTACTGTGATTACAACGTGGTCTCCAAACCGTACTTTCAGGTTTTTCTAACGTATTAGGATGCCGAATTCCATTTGTTTGGAAAATTGTGCCGAAAATCCAGTTATCGATGACCAATCATTTCAATTTCCACGAAACGAATGCAGTTTCGCCTTCGGGTTGGTGTAATGCAAGGATCTAATGATAGAATTCGGATTTTGTAGGTGGCCAGATTTCAACCATGAGGCTTAAAAGCACAAAGACGTTCAAGGAGTAAAGCGAGTACGCAAAAGGGTAAGATAAGTGGGCTGTCGACGGATTTTCAGCAACCTTATGAGTAGCACATTACAAAGATATACATGTATTGCGATATTTCAAATATCGTAGCGACTGAAACATGAGGCGGCCTGGTGCAGCACATTCATTTGCCTGAGAACAGCATAAACGAGAGATTCAACTGGAGTCCAGGTGAGTCTCCCGAAAAAAAAATTAGTTTGCAAATGAGTGTATATTCGCTAAGATAAGTGGAACTATATACAGCTTCCGTGGGAATTGGTCATACCGCTGAATAGCCACTCGTAACTTCTTCAAAGAAGACCATTGACCTAGATCTCACTCGAAGTTGACGAGAACGATAATAAAGTGATTTTCAGCCTTTCAGGTGGAACCAACACGCGATGCAGTCAGTGCTGAAAGTTCCTCCTCATTTAATTATACACAAAGGGAATTTATGTTCTATCGTGTAAGGCCATTTGAGAATGCGGGAAATGTGCGAATTTCACTTGAGACACACGAGAAACTATGGCGCGAGCCACAAGCATACGACAAAGATGCATACGACTAGCATTTCTGTTGAGAAATGAGCCTAGCCGTTTCAAACTCGAGCTGAACGAACCCAGGATCAACCCGTTGTCCCCAGGAAGCCGTACAACCACCTGGATTGAAAACCACTGATTTAAGTGACAAGTTGAACCATCCGAAGAATCTTAAGCAACAGGACAGGATATGTTAGAAGAAAAGTGTACCTAATTCGACTGATGACTGACAATAATATAAACAGAGTGAGAATTCAAAACCGAAGAAGTTTTTACAGAATACGTAGTAAAACCTTAGGTATGAGCACGAGCGCATCAATGACAAATCAGTATGTGGTAGTGGAAGCTACTGAAAAGCCGAATCAACACCAGTGAAGAGTTATCCATAAAGCAGAAATAAGAGATGAACGGTCACCTTCCTACAGAAAAGGGTAAGCTTATCACAAAATAAATACCTAGAGTGGAAGCATCACAGACAGGCTTCTTCAACAGACACGTCTCGTTACATCAGTGGTTAATTATCTTCAGTCTCATCGGTATCACTAAGAGCAATAACGTCATTACTTTCCGTTTGCTGATGAAGTTGTTTGAGTCCGCACACGAGCTCCAAGTAGTCTGCATCATCGAAAACACGGAGGAGAAAGCGGAAACCATCCATTTGATAGGCATCCAGTACAGCTTGTGAACATCCGGAACAATGAGAGAATGCCGAAGTGGCAGGTAAAACATTGCCAAAGTAGGGAAGGAAACCACGAATTTGATGTGGGACTAGGCCGAAGGAACTATGGACGGGGGAGGGATTACCATTCAATGCGTCAATTGAGGTTGCAGCAGGAGCTTCGGGGCCTTTTGGGTGTTGAAGGACGTTGACCAAAAGTTCCACCGCTAGAGCGGAAGCTATCAAAGAGACACCCGGTCTGGTTACGGTGCACTGCTGATCTAGACTGCGGTTTTGTGTCGAATTAGTCGGACCAACAACGTCATTGCAAAAATAGCAACCGAGGTTGCCGCCGTCGACCGACGGTTTGGGAGGGATATGTACGGATGTATCTCCTTCAGTTGTGGGTGAAGTGGTGGTATGTGTTTGTTTTTTATAGATTCCAGGTGAAACACCAGGGGGAGCTCGACCGTGTCTCATAACAAGATAGGTATCGAATCCAAGGGCGGCATTGATAACCAACTTACCGTGAACGTTTGCCAATAACGTTGGGAGCCACCTCGACTCACGTGTATCAGTTAGCAAAAAAACAACATCATGATAAGAAATAAGCTCACTCAAACGACTGCATGCTATGTACGAATCGAGAACTCTAGGTGGAAGTTTGAGATCCGTAATAGGGAGTCCTAGTTTATTAGGCAATACCTCTGAAGTGGCAGTTTCGTTCGACCGGTTACTGACCGGATGTCCAGGCATCGGTATAGAAAGCTGGAAACCTTCGGTGGTGACGCCGGGCGAAATCTTTAACAGCGCATGTGCCGCTGCTGACGCTTTGGGACTCCCACCGTTCTTTGTATCTTCAAACACGAATAACGACTGTCGTACGGGATTAGACAAAGAGACGTTGGCATTGTCAACAAAAGTGATGTGACGAACGCCCCAGGCGAGTAGTTGGCGAGAAACATTGCACCCTAGTGTCCCAGCTCCAATCAACAGGCATTTCGTTTCACGCACAGTTTCAAGCCTGAGGTCAGGCACCAAACGCCATTTCATTAGTTTTAAATTTAAATCAATGGCGGATTCCGAAAGCCTGAGTGGATCCATGCTGGCACTGAGGTTGACGAAACGGGGTTTAAGCTGATTGTCACATTTTTCCCATCCAACAAACTGAGTGAATGAAGAGCTCTTAACGGCACACAGTTCCACTTGCAGTACCAAACTGTGATTGCAGCTGCGTTGACCTTGATAAAACCGTTCTCTGAAACACACAACTCGTAGTCTTTGTTTATCTTGAACCAAAGTAGCTGAGAGAGCAAATAACATGTTACGCAGAGGCCATCCCGGGTAACAACCATGAGTGGATGGATCACAGAAGGCCAGATAAATGTGAGGGTCATCCAAACGCATCCCAGCACATGAGACGATATGAAAATCTGTGGAACCATTCATACTTTTCTCCGCCTTTATGGCAAAAAAAGCACTCCTGTGCTCTTGACGCCACAAATCATAGGCGACCAGAAGTTTCGTGAGAGCAGATTCCGAAAACTCCTCATCAAGAAGCCGTGATCCGAGAAGCACAGGTTGTGGATCGGAGATCACCGCGGGATATGCGAACCAAAAGTAGAACTTGTAGTGCTTGAGGTCACAATAAGTGAGCAGTTGGAAATCCATAAGCTTTTCTGGGTCTCTCAGATACTCATTATCCTCTAATGCTACCTTGAACATGGCTTGACCGCATTTATTAATAAACGGCTGCTTCTCAAAATTTTTGAATTCATCGAGACTATTAAAAGTGGTCATTTTTCCCTGTATACGGTATGCGGGACCGGTGATCCTTTTGACAGCATTATCGGGGAATGCAGATATGTCAACCGACACTCGAGGGGTGAGTCCAGCAGCTAGTGTATTGGAGAATTCGGCTGAAATACCGAACGGTCCCTCAGACAGCCTGTACTCGTCTAGTTTCTTCTTTGCCAATAGATGCCAAAAACCGGTGTCGACGAACGTCTCAAAAGGCAAGTACATTAGAGGCTCCACCATTACAGTTGATTGGCAAAGTATTGGATGACAGATGATGGTGAAATTAACTTGACGCTGTTGCAACTAGCAATAAACACTAAAGGTCAATTTCAAATATCCATATGAATGGATTGCATAACTTACCCACGAGAAAACACTGGAAGTCGAGGTCTCGGCAGATTGGACATGGGTTGTTCTCAGATACAAACGCTTCAACTCAATTGCAACAAATCCGGAAAGACAGTACCACAGAATATCTGAAACGGGAGTAAGATAAGATAACAACCGCTTCTGATACTTGGTGTGACGCGGGCGAATCACGCTACGATGGGGTGTGGAAGTCCTCACCAGTAACCTCTTCACTTAAGTTCAGTTGAAATCACTAACCAAGATTCACAGACAGACTATGATCATATGAACAAACCATTAGAATACACAATCGACAGCAGCGAAAGTGCCCCCAGGTCACATTAGTCATCATACAAATGAGGGGACATAGAAGCACACACAACCGTTTATTTTTCTCATTTTGCTTGACTGTTATTCATCAACTCTCTTCTACTGTCACTTACACAGACCCGTCTTTAATACGTCAGTCAGGTGACTGAGAGACTGCAACCAATCGATCAATCGATTTATCAGCTATAAACCGTGTACCAGCGCAGCCTATGAAGCGTGAGTAATTAATCTATCACAGGAGAGTTCCTTCTTCCTAAGACCATTTGGTGTACCTCAGCATCACTAATCCGATGTTCCCACCAGACTTGACCAGAACTTCGGAGACACTGATGATCAAACAGACATCTTCCATATGTCCTCTGGGCGAGACGCGGCGGGATGGACCAAGTGGATAGAGCGCGATAGACCGGAAGGTCCTGGTTCGAATCCGACCTACGCCCCTCGACTTCCCCTGTCTAAGCTTGGGCGACCTGGCAGTATCCTAGCCCTCGTGCCTCCTTCGTGTGGCATGGCAGCTAGGCCCTGAAAGGGTGCTACAGCTGAACGATAGGGGCCACGCCTCTGATCCATAAAGTAGCATGGACCGCACAACCGCGGTGTAAACTGTTTCCTCGACAGACAAACTCACATCATGTCATTGTCACAGGTGTTGGAGGTTTGGCAAAATCTGACCTCGCCTTTCCGATTCGACAAATTATCTCATTTCCAGCTAGTCCACCGGGACTTATACAGCTGCCAAGGTAAACAAATTTATTTACCACATTGATAGGCTCACCTGCAAACATGAGGTGTGGGTTTGATCCCACTCAGTCTTGTAGCAGCATTTTACACTTTGCAGGTGTGAAGCGCATGCCATACCGTGCGGCGGAGTTATTTAGGTTATTTGAAATCGTTTGCATTTGGAAGGGATCTGAACTAAGGAGAGCAATACCGTCCGCACACTCAGTGTCTGTGAGGGAACGTTCCGAGGTTTCAGAGGCAGGGAGAGAAATTTCTAGCGGCATAGCAACAACAAAGTTGAAGAGGAAAAGAGAAAGAGGACTGCCTTGTCTCACACCACTGGACGTGGTGAACTCAGGCGAGAGCTTCCCATATGTTCGTACGCGCCCACGGGAGTTTGCATACAGTGAGTGCCCTCGTAATGGAAATAAAGGAAATAAAGGGACACCTTTGATCACCAGATACTGCGGACGATCGGCGGAATCAAAAGCAGCTTTAAGCAACCAACGTGGGACGTCTGAAGGAGTGACGCTGTTCAAGAATTAGTCTCAAGGTAAAGATGTGGTCGATAGATCATCGACCGGGGCGAAACCCAGTTTGATTCCCGATAATCCTGCGCAAAGTAATGCCAGGGAGCACGTTAGATATGACAGATACCAGGCTGATGCCACGCGGTTTTCGCATGACGTTCTTGCTCCCTTTTTGAAGACGGATGACCATTCGGCTGGTATTCTGCCTTCGTTTCAAATCTTCTGCACTATGGCTGTCAGCCCTTTCACCAGGAGCGCAAGAATTTCCTGAGGGAGTCCGGAGTTCAGACCATGAGGGTCTGGTGTCATGTCTCGTCGAAAGAATGATAGTTCATGCTGGATTTCTGTTGTTGACGGCGGAGTGGCGCCGACGTTCTGCTCAGGTTTGCTGGATTTTTCCACAGCTTGTGTCGAGGGAGGCCAGCAGACCTGTCCTTTGAAGTGTTCCTCCAATCACTCAAGACGAATATTTCGTAAAATGAATTGCTACTCTGTTTCGCATATCATTTTGCTGATACTTATCTTCTTTTTGTCCGGCTGATCGAATCAATTTAAATGGGGTGTGGCTGTTGGCTGCAGATAAAGCCTTCTCCATCTTCTGGGCCTTGACAATCCACCAAAGTTATCATCCTTCAGAAGTCTGATCATTCGGAGTGTTCAAGAAATCCGCATGAGTCCCTGTAGACGCTAGCTACTGGTACAGTAAGCAATAAGATCTGTTAACCCCTAAACACCTCGACATACAGTCGTGTCGTATGGGCCGGATAGATAGTTTTGAAGGCTAAGAGAATGGTTCCCTAAACTGTGTTCTGTTCAAACTCCAAGCAGTCTTCGTCATTCACATGACCGGGCATTTCCATTACCTTTCTAACCAAATCAGCTCGATACTCTGAGTTACTAGAACCCGTCGAAGTTAGCCAGTAGAATTGCTCTATTTTGGCATGCGTAATGCGGAGTGATAACCGGGCTCGTATAATAGTATGACCTGAATTAAGTGGTGAGATGGCTCAGTGGATAGAGCGCGAATTTACTGACCGGAAGATTCGTCGTTCGAACTCGACGCCTGCATCTCCACTTCCCCTGTCTAGGTTTGGCCTGCCTGGCAGTATCCTTGCTCTCGTGCTTCCTTTGGGCGGCATGACAGCTAAACACCGAAAGGGTGTTACAGTTTGAACGATTTATTTATTCATTATATTACTCAAGTTGTGCACCCCAAAAAGAGCTTTCGGTAACTGATGGCTACCTGGTCTAACTGAGTCCATGAATGTCTTGCAGTTCGTGATTTTCAAGTAACTCAATGTGGGTTTGTGCTGGAAGTTCGTAACGCTCAAGAACAGATGAGCAATGTACTACTGAAGTCGCTTCCCATTATTGGTACGCTGAGGCACTTCGATTTATTAGCCTGATTTGGGCATTTATATCATCCCAGGATTCCTATATCCCTTCTTCATGCTGACCGCGATAGATCTCGATAAAACGCGTACTCAGATTCAGAACTGAAGTCTGCCGGTTCGTATGTTGATACGATGCCGCCGCCTATACCACATCGGTCTGGATTGATCTAATTTGAAACAGACAACCGCATTGCACAAAGACGACTTTTGAGTGGGACCCGGTCCATTACAACGCTTTCAACCTTCTGACTCAGTGACCCGAAAATTTGAGCCGTCAGGAAACTGCTGCTAGGTTTTCTAAAGAGACTATTCCCGGAGCCAATAGTGACCAGCTTGGCTTCCAGGGACTGGCCTGGCCTGAGAAATCACGAAGTAAGGAATTACTGCTGCCTAATGCGTCAGCGCAGAGCATATGCCTCTTGAGCAGCGCAGGACCATTAGGTTTTAGGAATAATTCGACCTTATTGAATGATGCGTCGGCGGTCTCGGTTAACCGTTGGGTGATAGTGGTGTGCGGTCTTTATGGTTAACATTTTCAAACTCATCCATCCACGGAGGAGGGCAGTACCAATGGTTCCATGAATACGGATATGCTGGACGCCTGAAGGAAACGTTTCACTCCCTCTACACCTGTCTCAGAGAACAGTACGACTGCCTTCAGACCATCTGGTAACACGATTTCTAGCAATACAAGGACGCATTGTTCTTCGTCTAACTGCTCTTTGTTGACATTCCTGGTATCGTTGAAACTTGAGGAACTGAGTTCAAGCAGTATAGCCTGCAGCATGATTGCAGAACTGAAGCCCGAACACCACGAAAAGACGGTAGCTTTAGGTCAATGTTGAACTACCCTACGTAGAGGTCGTAAAACACAGTGGGTTGATTCTGCTGCTATCTTATTCGAATACGGTACTCGAATGGTGTGCAAGAATTTAGAAGAGACATTTCGCCACCAGGGACTGCCAAAGCCTCTGAAAAACGATCGAGTCAAAATCAGCATTCAGAGAACAATGGCCGTCCTTATGCATCGGAGGGTGGAGCAGTTCCAGCGCTAGCCGCAGAGGGGATATATGATCGATGTAAGCACAGGGAGGAACTCAGCTAGATTCTCGTAAATTCCACTCATAATTACGGATCAACCTGTGAGAGATGATACCGCAGAGCACCCTTAAAGCTACGGCTACGAGCCTGATGCCCCAAAGGTTTCCGCACGATGTTCTGCACACTTTTCGAAAGTAGGAATCACCATCGAGAAACTGTGTTCTACCGTTATTCTGTCTTCATTCCAGATATTTTTAACTCGTCAGATTAGCCACGCGGGACTCACCACTTTAAATCTAGGATGCAAAATGTTGGTGAGTTAGAGCTGCGTTAAGCAATGCTGCGATAAAGCAGCCACACCACCGTCGTGAAATGTAAGCTACCTCAGGCAGACGGTCCCAAAAGCTGTGATCATAGCCTCTTTCAGCTTTTTTCGTCTTCATCCAAATCCTCTCTCTGGCAAGCGAAACAAGTTAACACAGTTGGTTCTGAGGAGCAAGATTCTCTTGCTCATTGTCAGTTTTGCGACTTCCTCGCAAAAAAACCATTCGGTGATGTGGGTGAGAATGAGTGGCGAGTTTGTTCCTTCGGGTTGACGCAGGCGGTGCATACGCACGATGAGTGATCGGTGATGACTCACTGTAAGGAGTTGTAGATGTTCCTGTCCACCACAGAGTAGTCTCTATGCTGCTGGCGGAAAGGGAAATCCTACCGCAGCGCTTCATCCCCGTCCCGTGCCAACGCATGGTGGAAGTGCATGAATGCTTGGATACGGCATTGCTGATTCTCAACATTTTACCCCTTTCTTTCAGTTACGCACGTGTGAAAGAAAAATATTCACCAGTCGAAAACCTTCCGACGTATATCCGAAGCGGTTTTCAAGCCAGTGTTTGGCACTTGCAGTATGGCCTACCGTTGCCCCTCAATTTCACCGGAAGATAACCAGTTCCCCAAAAAACCTTGAGCAACTCTCCTTTCACATACAACTTACGCTCCCAAGGCCTTCTGGACCGAACTCCAGTACATCGGGCATTTTGCACCGGCGCTGACTAAAGTCGTTCAACAGAACGCTTGGACTCAACATATCGTTGCACCCATCAGATACCACGCAGG